AAATAAGAACACACAAGAAAAAACAGGACAGTAGAATTAACTGCAATCACATTTCAGTTGTGTGAGACCAGATTTCAAGTCATCTCCCTAGAATATTTTTAACCTTCCCATTGGGCAGCAGCAGAGTCCTCACTAATGAACAGCAAAGCTGAAGTATGAAATCTCATTTAGGAGACAATGAAGCAAGGAATCTTTGGGAATCGTATAGAGCTTGTGCAGCAAGATACACGCAGGTCTAAATGCAGTTACCCTGAGTAGCATATGCTAAAATAATGGTCAAAAACCTTACTGCCACAACGATTATCTAATTATTATCTCAGGAAAATAACTTACACTCTTTTGAAACAAATGCTAAAAAGTAAAATTCGCCTAAGGCTTTTTATGAGCCTAAGTATAATTCCCCAATGGTTAGAGAAACTACCTCATCTGTCCCTTTTGATTTCAGAACCATTCGTGCATGAGTGTTAAATTAATGCAACCAGACAACTGAGACTTCAAACACAAGAGTAAGAAAATCCAGTTATGACTCCTACAACATTGTCAAAACCAGCTTTATCGCAGAGCCAAAACACAAATATAGAACTCAACCAAAGACATAGCAGTCACTGACTGCTGAATTCGCTGACCCCTAGAAATCAGAAATTTAAACCAGTTCTCTCTTGCCACTAGCAGCAGGTCAGATCCTCTGTGCCTAAAAACCACAGAAAACCTTACTTTCCAATCCTGACCCATTTCACTTTCTCACCATCACAAAACTTCTGTGAAAGTCAGTAACCCTTTACATACAGCCATTACACCTGCCACAACAGGGTTATGTTGTGCCCTAAAGCACATGTTGTTCCCAGAACAGCCCATAGGGAGGGTATCCATACAAGGATCTCAAGGTTTGCATGACCTGCTCCTAGCTCTGAAAATCCCCCTCTTTCCTTCAGGAGTTCCCCTTGCGTTTAGGCAAACATTACAAACAAACACCTTTTTATACATATCTCCATACTACTGCCACTTACCTTTATTAGCCTATCCATCAAACCAAATTTATGCCTACTTGACCAAGCAGCACTGATGGTTCTCTTGATCCTCAACACAGATTGGACATGAGCACAAGACACAGACTGTGTCTTCCCAGACACTAGTACATTGAGGCTCATGCTACAACATGCCAAATCTCACTTGAACAGCCTTAAAGCCCTTCCTTTCAGCCACCTTCCAGACTAAAGTCCACTACAAGACTGCAACGTGGAGAGGCCAAACTCCACACATTCTTTCCCCTCTAACAAGCAAAGGCAAGGAACACAAAGAGCTTTGCCTGATCACTTGGCAGGAAGAGACAATACATGTCTTCACATTCACAAATGCGACAGACCTCATCTATGGACTGCGCTATCTTTCCAAGGAGCCTGCTCTCCACCAGCTTAAAATCCTCAACTACCAGGCCTAATCAGGGCAGCTCAAGTGCTCTGTGGGTTTGTTTTTTGGTTGGTGGGGTTTTTTTCCTAATGCAGTTATCACAAAAAGAAAGGTTAGTGGGCAACCTAACATAGTGAGTAAGTGTGATTCAATACCTTGCCTCTGACCCAGGCCAATACAAGGTGGTTTAGAAGATGGAGCAAGAAGCCTCAGTGGACAATTATGGAACAAACTGCCCTTTCTTTAAACCTTTACCTGTTAAGAGATTGGGTTATGACTTAAAGATACACCTTCTAGAATGAGTTCTTTAGCTAAAGCAAGTCTGAACATTTCCACCCATAAGTGCTTGATCTTTTCTGAATCCCGCTCAGCTCTTAGCCTCGGTGCTATTATGTGGTAGTGAATTTCCACAGATTAGACATCATGTGAAAATACTTCAAAATGATTATTCAGTTTGATGCCTATCTGTTTCACTGAATTGCATTCACCTCAACTGAAGAATACATTCCAGCTCCTTCACCTCTGCATAGCAGTCTTCCTCAGGCTTGGCACCCAGCATTGTTGAAAAGCAGAGGAAAACTGAGCCCACCCAAGTGATGCTTATCCTGCATTCCAACCATTGCAACGCTATTCTCACAGTCCTACATGGCCTTCTACGCCATTTCCTTCCTAAGCACAGCTCCCAGGAGGGCACTCCAGAGAGGGTGGCTCATGTCATTCCAAACATGAGACAGCCTGCAAGCTGCTGCTTTTGGCCCTCTCTGAGCATATTAGCAATAAGGCCATACATTAACATCCTGACAATGAAGAGAACAATTTCCAAGTCTGGAACAAACAAGGGAGCAAAAAAGAGAAAAGATTAATTTAAGTCAAAAAGATTCAGCCAGATAAGGCATTACAAGCTGTGGAAACAAGCAAACAGCTCCTGGGAAGGGAAAAAAAGAGGCGGGGGGGGTGGGGGCACAACATGTCTCAGAGTGCCCACTTGCCTTAAACAAGGCAGGGCCTGACTTGCACTCTATAGCAATTTCACCGTGCTACAGAATATGCAGGACAGTGGATCACACAGGGGTCTGCTTCATTTTGAAGTCATGGCTTTTCATCTCCTCCACTGAGCTTTACTAAAGCATTTAATGCCACAGTATCCAAGTATCTTATAGACTCTTACGGACTCTTCCTCAAATCCCCAATAAGATGGGCATTAATCGTATTTTGCAACCAAAGAACGGAGAGCAAGAAACAGTAATGAACTGAACATGCTCACACAATAAATCTGTGGCAGAAATTAGGTATCCTACGTTGCAGTTCAGAATTCTGACCACAGGCTCATCCTTCCCCTCCAACCAGCTGTAAAGGTACTTCAATTTTAAAAAGTAACATTCGTCCTACTACAGTTACAGACCCAGCCAATCTAGATCTAAGGAAAAGCCCTTGGGTAGGGGAACTGGCAGGGAAACAGGATGGACGATTTCATGCCCCAAGGCATTAGCCCTGTTTGCATAGATTACGCACATGGTTCCTTTGCAGTCCTGTGTAAAACGAATTTCAGAGAGGATCATATTTACCCAGTTACAAGTGACTTGAAATACACACAGCTAGCACAAATGCCACAAGCACTCACTCTCTCCATAGCTCAAGGTGTCATATGAAAAGGGGATATCTTCCCAACCAAAGCCTTCAAGCCAGGAGATGAACATACCCAGCTTCAGGACCTTAAATTTACTCTCAAAGCATCAATCAAGTCAAACAGCCAAGAAAATCTGTTCTATTATGACAACTCCAGTTCCTGACAACCCCAGACAAAAGAGCAGAGATGAGTCAAAAATGTGTCAAGCCAGATCCTCATTTCTGAGCAGAGGAATCCTGCCCTCAGTCTGTATCACATGCAGGCTCATTTGAGATCCCTGCATGTTGTATTTCTCCCAGCAACATGAAAGGCAGAGGGTTATTAGCTAATAATAATTAGTTATTACATTATTCTTGTCACACTGTGCTGTAAAAGCGAGGCCCTTGTTAGCAAGTACACAACACAGTTAATTCATTACAATCTAACCTCCAGAACTATTTCTTGGGACTACACTGTAGATGTGGTGACACATGGAAATCTCAGAGGGTCTAGTTTTCACTGGATCCTCCATAAAACATAGCAGACATTTTAACAGGTTAGGGAGCTCACCTTCAGAAAAATCATCAGCCTCCAGGACTCACAAGCATCAAGTCTATTTCAAACAACTACCCAGTCACATTTTACTGAAACTTGTTCACTTTGCTATTGTTCAAACAGCTTGGCTTTCTTCATCTTTTTAAAAGCACTTTATATGCCACACCAGCTGCCACAAATCCCTTCTCCAAGCCAGCTCTGGTACCATTCACATCAGCATGTGGACCAAAAATCACTCGTCCCATCTGACTATTTGTACTGCTCCAGGACAAAAAGGGGGCAGACCTGCAAAAGACTATACCTCTTTCAAAGCTATAATCTAGTTCCCCTACATACTATGCCACATGATTGTACTTAGACTGGATGGCAGAGATAAGAATTCAGGGTTTGAAGGCTGCAAAGCAAGTTAGCTGCTGCTAAGTCACAAATGACTTGAAACAGATCGGAGAAGAATGCAAGGTCATCTTTGGTTCAGAAAGCTGGTCTGAGGAGGCAACAGGTCTTGGCATGTAACTCATCCCCTTCTGACCCAATGCCTTGTTAATGTTAACATTAAGATGAAGATAGCCATGGTCTGCACTTTGGAACTCCACTGGCCCTGCTGAAATGCATTCCTATGATTTCAAGAGCACTAGGTGCCTGGGAAGGAATGAAAAGCCAAAAGCTCCTGATACCACAGCTAAGACATGCTAGCTTAAATGCCGATTTAACATCCAGAAGCTGAAACACACTGTATGCAATGTACTATTGGGATACATATCCTTTCTGCAGTGATTCACTAAGACGTGAAGAAAGGAGCTGTACTAAAAGTGATTTGACAAGTAACTGAAAGGTATGATCAAAGGACCAGCTGCTGTGTACCAAACAGTTGCCCTTCTAAACTGGATCTCAACAGTTTGTTCAGGAGAGGACAGAAAGGCCAGCGGTACACCTGTACCACCCATCAGGGGATCAGCCAAAATATGGGTGGAAAAAACAATGTGGTGGAAGAAATAACCTAACAGAACAGAGGTTCACTAGAATTACCTAACTTTGGTATTGCAATTATCGCAAAAGCAGGATCATCAGAAAGGATTTCATTGAGATTCTGGCTGGGTAGACCTCTTGTGATTATACACAAAGCACAGCTACTTCAGCACTGACAGAACAGACTTTAGACTGCTTCTTTGGATGGCATGTAAAGTGCACTGGCTTACATCTTTAATTGAACTTTTCTTCCCAGGAGATCTTACTGAATTTTTCAGGGTCACTCCCATTTCACTGACAACCCTGGCCTCTCAATTCAAGCAATACAGGCCTACTATGATGCAGAGAACACCACAGAGAGGGACAGTTTTTCAGGTATGTGGTTCATATATGCTCAAAAAATTTAAGTAGTGGGACCAAAAGAACACAGTATGACTCAGCATCAGCTCATTCCTGGCTTTCTTACCTGCTGTCTGATGCTTCAACAAGGATTCATTGCTTCCTCTTACGTAGGCCCTTTATCCCAGTTCCTTCTCTGAATCTGTAAAAGAGATGCATACCTCTGAAAAGCTTTCACTGGCATAGAACTATCTATATTTGATGGATGATCCTTTTCAGCGGACAACCTCCACCTGGCATCTCTCAGATCTAGGTCATTCTCAGCCTTGCATATCATTTCCACACCCTGATGCCTAGCAATGCAATCTCCTGACCATCTAAAAATCCGTTTATTAGCACTCAATCTTTTACTCTGCTCCACACAGTGTGCTAAAGCCCAGAGCCAGATGCGGTTCAGTATTTATTGTTCACCTGTTTTTCTTTAAAGTCTTCCCATGTTCCCAGGGGCTGCTCACCAATTCTACAGTGGGAAGCATCCCTTGCACTAAAGGGGGTGTACAGGCGGGTAGATAATTTCCCATTCCCCCCTGCCAGGTTTGGCACCAGGGGAGTGCTGCTCCTTCTCTTCCAGCTCTGCCTCTGTCAGTTATACTCTGGTTCTTTAACACACATGCTGGCCCAGACTTGTTCCACTTTGCAGCTCCTACTCCAGCAACGCTCCCTGCACAGATACTGCTTTCTCATCCCCCACACCACCTAGCTCTCCATCACCCAGACAAGGCTACACCCTGCATGGACCTGGTTCGGCCTGTGCTTCCATGCCTGCTCTGCTCCCTAACGCCCTGTTGGCCGAGGCGGTGCCACCACCGCCCTCCCCCACGGGGACGGCCCCTTCCCCAGGGCCGAGACTGCGACCCTACCGCCCTCCCGCACCCGGCCCTCATCTGCCGCTCACCCCGCCTGGCTGACTCTTCCTGCCCACGGTGCGACCCGCCCGGACCCGCTGTCCTCGGGGGACCTCCTCCCGGCCCCGGGCCACACGCGGGGACAGGGAGAGCCCCCCACTCGCACGACGCCGACCCGAAGCCCGCCCGGGAAGGTGGGCGAGGCCCGGGGGCGCGGGGGGCCCCGCCCGGGCCCGGCTCGGTCCCCAGCCGGTCGCCTTCCCCGCTCCCCCCCCCCCGGGCCCCATCCCGGCTCTGACCCGGTCGGGCTCGGCTCCGCCCAGGGTCCCAGTGACTTTGCGGCCGGTTCGGCCCCGGTTCGGCCCCGCCCCAAACTTTGCCCCCGCTCGGCCCTGCCCCACGCTCTCGCTTCAGGCCGCCATTTTGCCGCGGGGCACGCCGGGTAATCCGGCGGAATCCCCACGCTTCAGCGCAGCTGCGTCATCGGGCAGCACAGAGGGGGCGGGGCCAGGCGCGGCGGCGGGCGGGCGGCGCGGCTCCCCCGTCACCGCGGCAACGCGAGGGGCGGGG